CCGCCTCATCACTGGGGCGCAGGAGCTCTTGCCAGTCGTTCGCTGCGGAGCTCAGGCCGGGCTGCTCGGCGGCAGAACTGCCGGGGAGGCTTTCTCTTGACGTTGTGTGCTCGGACGGAATCAGCTGTGACCCCTGAAACCGCTCCTCCTGCAGCCACGATGGTGGCCAAGGACTATCCCTTTTACCTTTCCGTCAAGAGGGCGAATTGTGCCTTGGAAGTGCCGACAGTGACCAGCCCGGCTAAAGAGACGGAGGTACTCAACCTACTGCTGATACGGTTGCAACTTTATTTTTCTTTACAGTGCGATCTGTATTGCTCTGGGGCAGGGATTACTATGTCTTGGAAATAGGTTTCTGCGTCTAGATACCTGGTTTGTTTAGGCATCCTTGATGGACTTTTCTGGGAATCAAACTTTCTTCTGGAATGAGGCGAGGAACAAAGAATCTAGATTTTTGTCATCTGTCACTTTAAGGAGTTAAAATTAATATTTTAAGTAGCTAATTGAGAAGTAGTGGTTGTAGCGGTGTGAAGTATTTTATTGCGGGATTAACCATCACTTACAAATTGTTAAACTTGTGCAGGAACTGGGAGGGAATCTGCAAAACGGTATCTTGAAGCATTATCTGTCTCTTCCTCACAAGTAATAAACTAAGGAATTAATCTAGTAATACGCTTAACTGAAAACTCTGCCCTATCAGCAGGTTAGCTAATCTGGTTTTTAAAAGGCAGGAAATTCTTTCAAGTTACATTAAAAATCTTATTCATTAACCCAAATTCAATGTATTGAATTGCAAAGTTCTCATAAAGGGTGGAATTTCAGGAACAAACTTTTGTGACAAAGGGTCAAATATTTGATACTTCAAGTTAATGTTGCTTTGTGTGCTTGTTTGCAAAGAAAACAGTGACCTTAAGCATTCTGTCTGGCTGTGCTGGACGAAGGATAAAATTTCTTTCTGGAAGTTTTTATCACTTAAATATATAGCGGCTTCATTAGCCTTGTTTGCTGAGTAACTTGAAGACAACTTACTAGATTGAGTGCATTTAATACAACTACATCAAAGATTGTCTCCAGCAGTTGAATGGATCTGAAGTAAAAGTAACGTAAGACAAGTGACCCTATTGGATTATGATGCTTACAGTAAGAACTAAGAAGATACTGCACTCTTGTTTTTCAGTATACTTTTACATAAAAGGGTTTATTTACCGATGAAAGTGTGTTGTTTTTCTCAACTGTGTGTTTTTGGAAAGTAACACCCTGAGTGTGTGTGTGTGTACACAAGTGGATCTATGGAAATCGCAAGTTGTTAAGTACCCAATGATTCTCTCAAGGGTACTCATTTTACTAACTATAATATTAAGAAATATGGTTTTAGCCTTTCCTGCATGAAGATTTTTTTGATGAATGAATAGAACTATCAGAACTGAAGAGCTGGAGTGTTGCTCTCTTTACAGTTAGGAAGGGCAGCTTGATTATAGTCAAATTTCAAAGAAGTCTCAATGAATGCTTAGAGCATGAGGAGTATCTAATAACAGATGTGATCAATCAAAATTACAATGTACAAACAGTTGTTTTAGATTTATAATCTGAGTTTTATGTGACTAAGAAAATGCACCCTGTGCTTTCAGACTGTTTTCTGAGAGTGTGATGGACTTCCAGCATTCTGAAAAATAAACTTCAGACATTCAGTTTGTCTTAGGAAGGTATGAAAAAACCACCTTCCACTCCAAAAAATTGGTTACGGAAGCAGAAACGAAAACTAGCCTTTGGGAAAGGCATTATAAGGATAGATGTATGCAGCCTGTTCCTCTCAAGTCTGTCAATATAGAGGGGAAAAATGCACACTTCTTCTCAAGCTCTGGTGTTTAGCTGTTCTTGCATCTTTTAGTATTCACAAGGCTAAAAAAAGCTATTGGGCGCCTTCTACCACAATTTTGTGTAACTACGCCAGAAAGCTAACTTGCTCTGTGGAGGTTATGAATTTCTGGCTTTGAAAACCTGTGTTTCCTTTTAATTATTAACGAGTGAAGTTGATTGATTTATTTAATAACCTAACTTGTGCATAAATGTTGTATGTCTGGAATAGAAAAATCAGAACTTGTGTTTACAAAATGTTTCATAGAATCATAGAACGTTTTTGGCTGGAAGAGACCTTGAAGATCATAGAGTTCTATCTTTTCCTAGCCCTATCAACACCACTGAACCATGTTCCTCAGTGCAACATCTATCTTAAACAGCTCCAGGGATGGCGACTCAATCATCTGCCTGGGCAGGCTGTTCCAGTGCCTGACGACCCTCTCAGTAAAGAAATTCTTCCTAATACCCAACCTGAACCTCCCCTGGTGCAACTTCAGGCCATTTCCCCTTGTCCTCTGACTCTATTAAACCATAATCTTTCCGTGTTTGTTTTGAACAAATATAAAACACAGTCTGGAAGATCAGGTACTATAGTACTTATATGGGATGAAATTCAGCAAAAATCTTGAGCGTATAATGTACTGTTGAAATTTTCCCAAATTTCTAGTTGGAGATCTCTGGGTAACAAGCTGGAGCTTATGGACAATGGATTACTTTTTCCTTGGCCATTACTTGGAGCTGACAGAGCAGCTGTGGAAATCTAAGGATGTTTTTGAGGAACAAGTCAGTAGCACAAAAGAGAACAGAGGATGTCTACTTATTTCTTTCTTTCAGCTACACGAAATTCCTTAGCATAAACTCCATAGAAGTAGCACGGTCACTAAACAATGGAAAATGAAATGTCCCAAATGTATGTGAACAGTAGAAATCTGAATTCTGAGAAAAAGTTTGTGCACCACTTGTCAAAGTGCATAGTTCTGTCTAAATACGGTTTAAGGGCAACAAAACTTCAATGCCTGAGAAATTAGTTGATACAGGAAACACTATAAGGCCTTTACATATATCATTCCATACTCCACATCAAATACTGTAGTACGGTTCTAGGTGTACATGGTAGAGAGGTTTGGGGTTCTTTCCAGCCTTTTCATAATTCAAAAAAGGAGACAGTTAGTAAAACTTCAAATTTGCTTACTTTAAGACATAAAAAGTTCAGAGTCTTTCCCAGTGGTAAATATCTACGTACCATTTTTTATATTTCACTGGTTAACGCAACTCCCTTATTACCCCTCTGAAGGAAGCTGGTGGATAGGCAGCTGGTGAGAAGCACACACAGTCACAGATTGGGGTTTAAAGGTCTGAATGTGAAGTCATGGCAAGGAAGATGTGGATTCCTCAGAGTAAGGATGTTCTGTTCTGCTGCACAGGATCTAACACAGTGCCTGGATTTGGGCTCTAAAAACTACAGTAGTGGTATAGAATTCCATAGCATCTTCGGTATGTTGTATGTCTGCTTACATCATTTATACTGCAGTGTTCTTAGACCTAGGAGTCGGGGCTGTTTGTAATGTCTTTTGTTGCCTCCCAATATCCTCACTGCTTTGATGTGCCGGCAGGCCAGGCTGCCTTGTGCTCAGGGCTGCATTTAATTTGCATGGGGAGGGCAGGAAGGCCAACCTGGAGGGTAACCCACAGCCTCTGGGCCATGGCACATCATTAACGTGAGAACCGGGCACAGAGCCAGAGGGCGAGGGACCAAAAGATTGTGAGATAAACTGCAAGCCATGAATATTCTTTGATCTTCATAAATGTATGCATTTCATTTTTATGAAATATTAGCAAGGTACAGTTTTGATATATTTCAGGTAAGTTCATGTGCAGTGTAACTGCAGTGAGCTAAACACGGAAACATGTCAAGCCTCCCACTTGGAATTACTGATCTGTTCTGCTTAATGGCAATTTGAAACAAAGAGCTTGCCTTTATTTTTCCATTCAGTAACTCACTGTAAGGTGTCTGGTTGTTATATGGCAGTCCAGCTTCATGTCTACTTTGTTCCAGAATGGAAAAGGTCTTTCTTAGGTATTTTGTACAAGCAGCTTCTAATGAGAGGAAACGCAGAATTTAATCATCTCTACAGTAGTTGTGTGTTTTTTTCAAAGTTTCTGTTGCTTGTGTTAATTCACACAGTGTGAGGTTTTTCTGTTAATTGGCCTTCATTTCCGAACTCCTGCTAGATGCATTGATTTCTGGGTATTGCAGACAAATGAGTGATCAGTCAAGATAGCTCGATGCAACTTGTGCTACTGACACTTCAATGGTTCTGCCTTGCATATGGCAAATGAAATCTGAGGTCTTAAGGGTGGTGACTAATGAGGAGGGCCTGTTTGGGGCAAGGACCCAATCTTTGATGAACACATGATGCAATAGTGTGTCGCAAACATCAGCTGATCATCTTCGACTGATGATACTTCACCATTTCTCTCTATGGCTTTTCATTTTACTCTGGCTAGCATTTCAGGTCCTCTTCCTTATAGCACTGCAACTAAAGCAAAATATCTCTGGATTTTGCTTCATTTGATTGCTGGTTTTACGGAAACTGGCAGAGGAGTATAACAGATCTCCTAATGCTCCTGTTGGAGAGTGCAGGTGGTGGATGGAAACGTACGGATTTGAAGGGAAGTTGTATCACTGGCACACACAACTTATTGAATGGTTGAGTTGGCTTTATATATAATTTTTCTTAAATCACTTAAGTTCTTCTTGCAGTGCTGGCAGTTTTACTAGTGGAATGCTTCTCACAGATTTAAGGATGAATTTACATGGATGGGGTTGGACTAGATGATCTCTAGAGAACCCTTCCAACCCCTATCATTCTGTGATTAGTTACCTTTGTCCAGTACTCAGCGGTACTTAGAACTGCTTTAGAGTCACCTGCTTTGTTTTTCTTGACCATCACCCTCAACTCTAGAAGAGTCAATGTCCTAGAGTTCCCTAATCAGAATATTGCTAAGATACTATGAAGCAAAGATAAATGTTCTGCTGTTTCAGGTATTAAAAAAATAATTTATTAGTGCCAATAACAATGGAGAATGTTGTTCTGGTTTTAGATTTTCTTTTCTCTGAAGGTGCAAAAAGCCTGAGATACTAGGCTTAATTTATTTTTGGGTAAGTGTTTGCTGTTTTAAGAGACCGTTGTATGTTGTTTTTTCTATTTTAACCTTTTTTGTTTGTTTTGTTTCTTTTTTATTTTTGCTGAAGGTTAAATACTGATAACATCCTGTAGAAGAGGGTTTGAATGTGGTTGGGTTTTTTATTATTAAACTCTGAGTTTTGGGGGCATTTATTAGAACTGTTTAATCTTAGGCCAATTTAACTAGTAGTAGACTAATAAAAATAATAA